TTTTTAACCCAAGTCGAGTGTCAGCTTGTCAAGTTTCTAGAAATGAGACCGATTCCTTTTGTGAATCAGGCCCGCATCCACCGTACCTCCATATAATCTTAAACCCTGCTCGTCTTGCCGCCGTTGGAAGCGAACAAGCCGTTTAATGTGCGCGGATTCAGACCTTACAGGACAACCTAACTTTTCACGTGGAACAGCATGGTTGGCCAGTCTACCGATGTGTCTTCTGTTTCTGGAAATTTTGTGAAATCACTTTTTTGTCGCACTACTTGTTACACTCCTTTTGATGGTAATTTGTTACGTCATGTTCATGTTCAATGAACTGGATTCCATGCAAATTGCGCTACTTAAACATGCCAGTACCAGTTGGGTATGGTCTAGTTGAGTCACATCCTGTCACCAGCTTATCCGACTCCCACATACTACCCGCATTCGCAGCCATGAGTGTTGAGTGTTTTAAGTGGGAATCCATGACCAGCACTGTGGTGAGTTGATGTCGCTTGCAGTATGCCTTCCTTTTCAGCTTTTTTTAACTGCGATGCGACTATCTACCCATCCTCCCTGTGCAATTCAGTCACCAAATGCCTTTTCCTCATCGTCCCCGCGTGATTTCGCAATTCCAGGCTTGTCGTCCCCTCCCCTTTTGTTACCGCACCCTCTTGTCATTGTAATCACGCAAACATGTACCTAGCATCAATACGTGTAAACCTAAACGTTTTAAGGCGCTTCAGCCCCCATTATCAAAATTTCCCTCACGGTGCTACATGTGTAATTTGTGGTTAGCAAAAATGTTCACATCATCGCTCCCACTTCCGCCCAATCACGTGTACATTTAACACTCCGTTAAAGTTTTATGTGATTTATGCTTTGGCTATGGTCAACCACCTTCCAATCTTGTTAAATACAATCTCATTCGCCGTGGTCATCCTTTCTTAGCTCAGAGAAACGGGTTTAGTGGAAAGTTTGACACCGACACCTCTTTGAGCTTTTACACCTTGTGCACCGAGTGAATTTCACACTGTGGAATTTAAGTGCAAAATGTGTACAATCGATCGAAGCAATTAGCTTTTAGGCGACCTCGAGCGATAAACCGACTTATCAAGAATGTTGGCCAGCCGACAATTTGCTGGGCCGAGCGACTATCCAACTACATAGTGTATCAGACTGCGGATAAAAGCGCACTTTAAAACACACCTTAAGTGTTAATTGAACAAGCACGACAGGCAAATGAATTGGCGTTACAACAGCCGCTACAACCTGCTGTACTCAGTAATGCATATGTGTGCTTAGGGGAAGGGGTGATTATGTACAAGGGGTAATGCGTTCTAGTTATCTAGACAACCAAAATATTGGGTTTCTTGAGTTCTAATTCAGAAAGACAAGAGCTGTAGGATGGATGGTAGGTGGTGCGATCACATGTCGGTGGGACCTTTTGAGGACGAAGCCGCACCAGGGGTCCACGGAGATTGGTCCGTCGGAGAACCAGCGTTGCGACTTCCCAGTCGGCGGCGGAACCTTACAGGCCCGTCACTGTTATCTGCATGCTCACCTTGGATGAGGCTTGCCGGTACCTGCAAGCATCGGATTCTACTCATTTACCGATAACAAAATTCACATGTGTATTGCGTTTTCGAGACCTCGAGAACAGTGGCGTAAGAAGGAACATTGCTAATCACTTTAACTTGTAAAGTCCTTCGGTCATCAATGTTAGCTACTTTTTCTGTTTAAATTAACACTGAGCAAACTAAACTGCAAACCTGGTTAGTAACCTAGCAATGGCGAGTTCTATATTCTGTTTGTCGTAATTGAGAAATAATTTAAAAATAATGTCTGATGGATATGGTTTAAAAAAACAAGCCAAGAAATAGTTACTCGAAATTTCAGCTGGGCCACCACATGATATTACGACAATATTATGAACTAAAAGCTTACTGAAAAAGATTCGCGACTGATCATTATCATCTAGAAATTGATACTAACAAATTGGGAGGATTTCGGAACTGACAATTCCATCTTAGTGGCTTTTAAACCTAAAGTGAAGTCAGCCGGGAAAGAGCAGTTTCAAAACTACAATTGTACCGCACATTTTTGGGGTGGATAAATAAAATAATCTGAATTCCTACGGTCCCAAAAGTCGCTCAGAAGGTCGTGAGTCAATAACAAGTTTTGGAATCGCGGTTACGATCGTTTAGAACATCTCAAAGCATGAGAAGATGGATGGGATTTCGTAGAAAAGGAATTGTCCTACAATTTTAGCTGGCGACTCTTGTATTTCGATTATAACCGCGGAGTACACTACACCGAAAATATGAACTGCGCAGCGGACATCTCCCCAAAATCAAATTAGCTTCATGGTGCCAAAAAAATTACACAAAAATCTTACAGGCGTCCCTGTGTTAGTCGTTTCGACCACGGACTTTTGCGTATTTAGTGAAGTAAGTGCTGCTGTCATTGTCATGGTGGGAGGTGTGACACACAGAGTAGGTTTTGCTGAGCTATCCGGTTCATCGAAGGGTAGCGCGATGGGACTGACAACTCGAGATGATTCCTTGTCTTCATGCCCCACGGCTAGGGGGCTAGAAGGAATGCCACCACAGCCGCCTGACAGTTGCCCAGAGGAACTCTCCAAAGTTCTTGACTGCCTTTCAAATCGGTTGCGCTCGCTTAACTGCCGAAAGAGTTGACTCTGTGTGGATCTGAAATAAACCCGTAAGTGAGTGCTTAATTTCGGCAAGTATTGATTTTGTCCCGAACTCTTTAAAATCTTATTATTAGAGAATTTTGGTATCAGTAATCCGACGTTAGATGCATTTAAGTGAGTTCGCGAGCGCTCGGGATTTTGACCACCTTATTTTGATTAAATTCCCGTCTAGTGACCTCAGTTCAGTGATTTGAAGATCAACTGCACCATAGCTACGTGTGCCGTCCTCCACGGTGTGGTTCGAAACCCACATCAGGGTCTCTACAAATTGGTGACCCTTTATAAACAATGTTAGCCCTGCTAGTATCCTAAACTTGACTGCCATACATTGCAGAGCTTGGCCGTCAACCAAAACTCGCCAGTTCTCAACCTCGCCTTGCTTGGCCTAACACGGGATTACCGACTATCAACTAGGTGAAACATCATCGAACGTCTTATGTCAACGTTCAATGGTCATATTTTACCGGTCTTATAATCAATCTTACAGACACCATTATGAAAGAAAAGGTTGTACCGTAACTATCAACAATGTCCTCAGCCAACTTCAAACGACGAAAAATCGTCTATAAAATTTTTCGGCGACATCCATTTACCGAAAAAGAAACCTTGGGAAGTTTTTATTTCCGATAGCTTTTTGACGCTGATAATCTGGTGACCGCCAATATCGTTGGTTGTGTAGACATAAGATCAACCATCGATTTGTCCGACAGAAAATAAGTTATTATCGCTGGTTGAAACTTGAATCAAATCCTATTCTCAAGCAATCAATTATCTCAGCATGTTCAGACGACGAACATTCGCTTCACCTTATCTTACGACACACCTTTCGGTTACAATGGTAAAAAAGTCCGTCGATCACTGACAAAGCACGAGAGCTGCTGGCTTCCGATAATCCCACTTGAGTTCGATTACCGTAAATAGATTGAGTGTAAACATTGACTATTATCCATCGATTTGACAGCTATTCATATGTCACATTTGCCACATTAAAAAACAACTTCGTTATAAACAGCTGAGTCTCCATCGTCGCTGGTCTTTTTTTCCCCGATCGCATCGCACACCGGAGCCTCTAAATTATAATCAATTACGGCATTACCGGGAGACCACTAATATCCATCATGGGCTTCAATTTTCTTTGTACATGCGAATTATCCGGGACCTTTTTGAACCCAAACTTCCGACGAAGGAATGTCAAAATATTGTCACAATGACCTTCATTCCACGTCTAATGTGCTACTTCGTGGGATCAAAGAAACCAATTTTTCAAATATTGCGGTGGTACATACTAGTTGATTACGCATCAAACGTTCATGAATCGACGAAAGATTCGACAAAGTTGATGTGGCATTATGTATACTTTCAGACAAAACGAAGTTTTTTTTTTAAAACGTCTACGTGGCTTCAATAGCTAAAAAAAAAGCTTACAGTAAAACATGCAAGAAGCGTGCGATTGTAGAAGCGGTGGCCACTAGAATGACAATTAGCACGACATGTAAAAACTTGAAAAGTTTATTGGGGCTGCGGTTATGGAATGTGGTTTAATTGAGGTTTATAGAAAAAGCAACTGTGATGTAGCCTAATACAGGCCTGTAGTAAGAATGGATATTATGGGTGAACTCATTGCTTGGACGCCTATTTACCTAGCTTCTTGTTTTGTCATCATCACAGCTATGCAACTAAAGCGCTGCCAATTAATGACTGGATTCCAGAAAGAAGTGAATTTACTTGTAGATAGTTTATAGAGTGCGGTATTCGGAAAAATTATGCTATGTAAATTAAATAAAATGAGTGATTATTTGCAAATTTTGTTGCCACGGGTTCCTTTAATTCAAACTAGTGCACTAAAAGTACTGAAAAATAAAAAGGGATGACGCATGAAACTACTGACAAGATGCAGTTTCGCATGAGGTATTTACGTGTTAGTAAGCTGCCAACGTCGATGCGAACGCAAATATATAATTTCAACCACATAAACTTGATAAAAAACGAGGAAAGCCAGAATACATTGGTGAATGTTAACCACGTAACATCACTACCTTCGTGGATGTAAGTGAGGTCTACTTGAGGCAGCATTGGAGCCGGCTAGTTTTGTCGAATTGAGTACAGAAAAACTGTGGCTATGTTGTTTTGGTGATTCATCTGCAATTCCAATCGATTTTCTGTTTGCCGCTAATGTTGTTGAGTTTGGAAGTTGTCTGTGGCGGTGCCTGCGTTCAATCACTGAGGGTGAATTCTGTGCCACGTGATCGGCCGAATTTCCTGTGGGGAGACGCAGTTGAATAGAAGTCGACCCACAAATCCGTTTCAGAATACGTCTCCCTCCGCCAGCAGCTTCAAAATTACTCTCATCTCCAGAACTTGGTTTCGACGCTTTTCCACAAAAGTATTGAAGGTGATGTGTACCCTTGACTCGCCGACCAGACCTGGAGACCAAACGTCCACGAGCACGCCAGTGCCCATCTGACCGGATATTACTCTTGGCGAACGGCGTTACAAGCAATCGAAGAGGATTAGGCGACGAACAGATGAGTTGAACAACCTCTGTATGGAAGCAACCAACCACTTCACGACCATTCACCCGCAGTATAAGGTCGTTCTCACACAAGCCAGCCGCGAAAGCTGGGCCCTTTCTATCGACTCCGACTATTACGTGGTGCAGAGTATACACGTCTGAAGAACCATAGAAAACATCTTTGGCGCGGAGTGTGAACCCGTAGCCTCGTGGTCCTCGTGAGATTACGACTGTGCGCGTAGCTGCAGAATTATCCGTACCACCAGTCCCACGTCGAGAATCGACAGAACTCGCAGAAGTTGTCTTTGTAGTCGTCTGGGAGACAATGGTTCCAGGTTGCAGAGAACGGTGTGGACTAGCAGTCTTCTGGCGGCTCAGAATGGGTAACTTCGACGGTTTATTGCTTCTGCGAACAGAGTGATTTTTTGTTTGATTTGAATTAGAGGCAATAAGCGAAGGAGACTGTGTAGGGGCATTTTCAGAACAAGCATCCGAATCTGAAGCTGGTGGAGTTGGAGTTGTTCGATGGGGACTTATCTGGTTCGCGTTTCCAAGGGACGAAGCCTCCGCTTCAGTAGGCTCTACCAACAGCTTAATGTAAAATAGAAAAACATAAATCATCACGAAATAGTGTCCAAAGGACAAACCATTTACGCCAGTCTACTTTTCGTTACATCATATCACAACACAATTCATTACAATGGCCAAATCAGTTACCCAACTACTCGTACAAAATGCAATTTCGATCAATTTTTTTTAAAATTACGAAAATAACTTAAAGGAATTGGAGTTGGCCAAACTGTAAATATTGCGTAAAATCATAAAGTTAAAACCATTTTGGAATTGTGATACACCTCGACCAGCAAAGAGCTCAACGAATTGCATGTGATCGTGCTGAGGAGCAACTTTATAATTTACCAAATTTCTTTAAAAAGACGCTTAGAACGCGAACTACACGATAAACGGGTTTTAAGGCATCCGCGAAACTTACCATTTTTTTGATCGATGAAGCGCTGGGGTGGCTTGCGGAAGAGCGTTTGTGGGTGAAAGAAGCTCCCAGCTCAATGTCACCTGAGTGATCACACAAATGGGCGCATGCGGGTACGGAAGGTGGTGGCTCCGAAGCTAGGCGCTGTGTTGGTTGATTCGTTGAGTTGACCGGCTTCTCCGATTCTTCGCTGAGAATGACTGGCCAGCTCTTCTACAAATCAGACCTTGGAATTGCCAGTAGTGGTTATAAGAATAACCGTATTAACAGTCTTATTTATTACCATTTTAACATAATACACGATACAAACAGCGAGGCAAATGCATACATTGGTAATTTACCTCAACTTATAATTTCGTACACGCAAGGTATGTAAAATATCAACTGACACCTAAGTTATGGTCGAAATGAGGAAAAATATTTGCGAGCCTGGAGTTGACCTCCTGCCTTGTTGATTGACCGGCAAAGGTTAAAGCAGACACTAGAGATTTTTCGGTTAGAATTAATGGGATTCCTTATTTGCTCCGTTACCACGACGACCTCAAGATATCCTCAAAACCGGCCAATCATTTCAACATAGAACGACACCTTAGAAATCAGTGCCTCAGCAGAGCAACGTCACTAAAGCATTCTATAGAGTGCACAATGATTCTAACTAATCCATGACTGCTGTCATGAAGGAAACCAGAAAAACCATCAAGAACACATTTTAAATAAGTATGCTAATCATAAATCTGAATAAAAAATGCCATGCATTGAGTCAACAAATAATGATTAAGTGAAAACCAATAATGTAATGGCAAATAGGAATAGTTCTTCATACATTTATCAATGCAGTCAAAAATGAAAAATGATCACCGGTAGTAAGACGTTAGAACGAAAAACTGAAGGTTTATAACGGAAATCGTTTGCTAACGAAATAGACCAAATTGCCTCAAAATAGATGACGAAAGAGGGCTTGTACGTTTGCAGAAGAATATGTAGCCCTGAGAGGCACCTTTACTTTTCAAACAACACACATAACATATTCACACATTGAAATGAGACCACAAATACAAAACTGCATTCCTACTATCGTGACTCATTCTTACTGAACACCCATTGACTACATAGAATTGCAAACTAGAGCACGAAATAGTTAAACTCGGAGGAGCAAAACATTCATTTAATTAGTGACTTAAAACTACTTGGGTGGCTCTGGAACTGCGACATTACACGGTTACTTGGCAGAAATAAATAAAACGCATAAGGAGCCATGTTTGGCTGGAAAAAAAATGGAAAGAGGAATTTGCGTACTTGACCTTTTCGGAATCAGATGAAAGCTACTTTGACAAATATCCCATTTAGACACTCACAAGAGCCAAAAGTCAGAGTGCAGAAGCCATCCACACTGTAACTAAACCACACACCACTACGATGAGAGAAAACAATAGGACGCGTTAAGCATGCTGAATAGATGAAGTAGTGATCAATAAAGGACTGGACTAGCATGAACCCAGTTGTGGCAGTTTGAAACTAGCGAGACATCCTTTTAGCAGTGGAACTAATTTCGTTGGCTAGTTGAAGTAGGCTTTCGTTTAAAAAGCATGACAAAGCAACTAAAATGTCGGTGCGTGTTAATATTGAAGTTCCAAAGCATTACAAGATGTAAAATAACTGCCGGACGTTAAAACCAGGACACTTCGTCTTTTAAAAGATAACTGAAATGTGAACCAAACGCCAGTATTAGCGGCTGGAAGCAAACACTGACCCAGTCTTGCTAAACAAATTCTGTTTTGGTCTAACTTCCTGGTAGTTGAGTGCCTTTAACTTGGGCCTGCCGTCAAAGTGGCATACAAGAGAAAATTTGTTTGCTTCTACTTTTTGCACTTAATTCGACCTGATTAAGTACACTAATGCATTTTTCTGTTCTTTAACCAAAACAACTAACCCCATCTTCCACGCCGAAGTCTTCTTGCGTCGGTGTTGAATCTTTGTGCATAAGCGTATCCTTATCAACAAGCTCGTGTTGTAACTGTGGAAGCTCCATTGTTGCTCTCTCTATGGCGGCCGAAAACCTAGGAGTGCATGAAGCGAAGGCGTGGAAAAGAGATTCGTCCTGCAGCACCTCGTTATCCTTGCTACCACCCGACATTTCAAACGGCGATTCAGCTAGGCTGATGGCTGAATGCAGTCGCTCCGCTGTAAGTCGACCTTCAGCAGCAGTTAGGGTGGCGTTCACCTCATCGCAGGGAGCTACTTGAGCCGGCTCCGACGACCGCTCCTTAGAGGTGGATCTCGAACAATCCGAGGCTACGGATCGCGCAGACGAGAAAGAAGAGGAAAAGGGGGTTGCAGGGGGGTAAAGAAGATCGCGATCCAAGTCCTCATCATTTTCTACCTCATGTTGATATCGATCAGTGCGGGGGTCAAAGTAGGAACAGTCCTCATCATGCTCCAATTGGGGCACAAAGGCGGCCTTTTGGCAGAGAAGATTACGCCAGTCAAGATTCTCAAAAAAGGGAGCGGCCTTAACTTCTGTGGCACCAGTCTCAGAGCCAAGACGAAGGAGAGGGTCACGTTCGAGGAGTTGGGTGATTATAGACATAGCCTCCGGAGAAACACGACCTTCATCTTCCTCAGAAGGCCACTCAATTGGGGCTGCAGTGAAATACATTAAGGCATAAACTGTCAATAGCCTAATAAATAGTAAATAAGTTATGCGGAGACAATAAAAATGGCAGACAATAAGTCCTGGTAGCAAAATTAGCGGCGAAAATTATATTTCCGAGAGCATACACTAAAAAGGAGTATTCTGTGCACTGACAATTCTACTCGTGCTAATGTAAGGTGTCAAATTAACTTTTTGTTACTAATTGTTACTACCTTTTTGTTAATTAATTGGTTTTTAGCCAGTCATTGAAACTTGCAAATCAATGAAAACATGTTCTACTTTATTTTTTTGTCAATTCAAAACATGGAAAGTAAAATTATGGACAACTTCCTAATTAGAGACGAAAGCAACCAGGATAAAGACATTTAACCAAATATTTAGGGGCTTCCATTAAATGATGGATTAAATATGGGTAACTTAGGACATTAAGTGGGTTTAAATAATCTCGCCCATACCGATTTGTCATACAAACACACAAGTAGAAAATTAACAAACAGACACGGTGTGTTGTAAGGGGAAGACATAGGAACAAGAAACGAATATGTAGATTAACCCCAGCAAAATGGTGATAAATAATTGATTAAATCTTACCGAATGAGGATTTCATTCCACTATAGAATAAGGTGTTTACAGTATGGGGTTGAGTTGAAAACAAACAATTTACTTCCAACCTCCTTAATATTATGAATCAAATAGACATTTATCAAGAACGCTATGCAACTATCCCACTATTCAAAATGACAGAACCATGCAATGCTACCGCAAACAGTTCGCACGTTGGCATATATATTGGTAAAAAGCTGTTGAGAGAGCACACTAAATTTTTCACAATCACAAGCAATCAGTTCAATATTCCGAATGTATTCGGTGTTTTAAACGTTGTGTTCCATTGTAAAATACAGAGTGACTCACCAGAGACGATCTGTGTGAAAAGTGCCTCAATGGTGTCACCATAAAAGGGAACAACACCGACAAGGAATTCGTAGAGGATAATACCCGAAGCCCACCAATCCACCGGTTTACCTGAAGAAATGGAGACTACATTAAAACTCAAAAAAATCATTTAACTCAAATAGCATTTACTTTGACAGCATGTGACTTGAACTTGCTTGTAAAAGTTCTCAACTTTAAACATTTTGAAAGTGCAGGTTCATAGTGAACAGGTAGCAAAAGAATAGGCAACATTGATACGTAACAAAGACGGACAAGGCAAAAATGACGATGTAGTAGATATGAAGAGATAAATCTTTAATTATGTCCGAGCAAAAAATCAATTTAATCTTACCGTAGCCCTGCCTAAGAATGACCTCAGGTGCAATATATTCCGGTGTGCCGAAGACTTGTTTGTCACGAAACATTTTGCAATCCTTTTCAAGGTCAAGACTTCGCTCGTAGAAACTTGTGGCCATGTTCATGAGACCGATGCGCGAGAGTCCAAAATCTGTTAATTTTATATGACCCTCGTGCGTGATAAGTAAACTGAAAAAGGACGACAATTGCGTGGTCAAGTTTAACCATTTTATTTTAAATCAAATAATACATTGTGTGAAGTTTCGACACGCAGATCCAGCAAAACAGGCTAGTCGGATAACAAAATAATTGCCAAGTGAGTAGTGTTTTAAAAACGATGCAACAGCCTCGTCACGTAATCAAACGCTTTGCTTAGATACTGCATAAACTAGGAATTGCGAAATCCTAATAGAAATTCGATCACTTTCAAAGTCAGAGGGCTGTGGGGGATGCTAGTTTCACAGGCAGGCTGCCCAAGGGTAAGAGCTATGTGAGTATTGAAACAAGTCACTAACCTAATCGGAAAATGATACGAAATGAGAGGTTTATGGTGATGGCCAGGTTAAAATGACCAGTGTTATGGAATAAAGGAATTATTGAAACACCATCAATAAAATTTAGATTTCATCTCTTTAGACTATAATGATGACAATAAGATTTTGCAAATATTTAGAAATGTATGAGAAAATTGACATCACATATCAACTAACAATTTTCAGGATGGATACTAAAGTGATTATGACAACAGGATTTTAGGAGAAGTGGCTCCATTCCTATAAGACAATCACGACGTGGACGTCAAACCATAGACATGTTCTGAGAACCACGTTTACACAGCATTAGAATCAAATTAGGGCTGAAAACGTACTTATCAGGTTTCAAATCACGATGGACAATGCCATAGCTGTGCAGGTACTCCAGTGCCAGAACCAGCTCTGCGAAGTACATTTGTGCTAAGTCGTCAGGAAGTGGTCCACCGATGTTCTTTAAAAGAGTAGCTACATCGCCACCCTCAACAAATTCCATCACCAAGCAGAGGCACTTCTTCGTCTCAAAAGTGCAATACAGACTCACAACGAAGGGATTATCGGCAAATGAGAGGATGTCTCTTTCTGCGAACACTTGCTCAACCTGATTCCTCAGTCGCAAGTGTTGCTTTGGCATCTTCTTCATTCCATAACGCTGACGAGTGATGCGATCACGAACCAAGAAAACGGCTCTATAAACACGAGAAGGTGCGACATACTGATGGAGTTAAAGCACACAAGTAATTGCATTAGTAATTCAAATAAGAAAAAGACAATAATAGAAATATTTACATTACGTAGGCATCTCCAAAAAACGAAAGAGACGATAACTCGGCGCTTCAAATGCATTCAATGGTATCATTTATTACCAACAACGAAAAAATCACTTGCCCAAAAAAATTCTACCTTAAAATGTGTCAAAAACGACTACCCTAAAATACATATACAAAGGCGAAAGTGTATATGACGTCGACGAAATGAAGACGTCACCAGCAGTTGATTTTGCTACAAATTTTGATCAATTCATTCTAAACTTTTACTTCAAATACAACATGCATCTGCGTCATCAAAACAATAATTTTTAGACTTCAACGTGAAATAAGATGCACGTGGGTCGATAGCAGCAAATAGCACAGAATCATCTGCATGAACAAAATAAACAGGTATTCGAAATAATGAAAGCAGCATTTGACTCAAACGAGGTCAAAAATCATTCCTGCTGAGCTCATCTGGCATTACCAATGGTGGATGCTTAACCACAAGTTCAAAATCAGGAGGAAATTTTGACCTGGTTAACATACGTGCCTCTTGCTAAGAGTGCTGCACTCCGAATCTAAGCCTTTGCAAACAACCTCTTTGAGACGTACTGGTAATGTGGGTACCCAGGTGTTTTGCTAGAGGCAACACAGTGTACGCTCATCTTCTGTTTTAACAAGGGCTATCTAGGTCATTCTAAGCCGCAGCATTAGTGAACAACTTGGCGGCTCGTGCACTCAACTGTAGGTTTTAAAAAGCCAGAAATTTGTTCAGCGTCAACCTGATGTTGTTAATCGACGTTACACTCTCGCACAGCGCTGATTTCACACTTAGTCAATAGTTAGCATTGTAAGTGCTGGTTTGAAAACCGCTTATGCCTGTGCACGGCCTCCTACGTCTTGTTGATACCTTTTCGAGTAGATTTTTTTCTGACAAAATGAATGCCAAGGATTATGTATATCTGATTGTTGTGTAGGAAATGACAAGTTGGTTACTGGTTGCGGTATTTTAGCACATTACGATTCAAAACACGCAAATATGTCACGATGTAACACGTTATCAAGAATTGTGGCACCCAAGTACACCTTATTTCGCACATTCGCAAATAATGGGTGCTGAAGTACGACTATGTGCACCAAAGGCACTACATGGACTATTTTAGCACACACACACACACACACACACACCTACAACTGAAATAATCGTGAAAAAGCATGATACTGGAAAAACGAAATTGATGGCTTACATTCTGAGTAAAAATGACAGTCAAATTGGCGATAACAACAACTCACATAATTACTTTGGTCACCATAACTCAGCATAAATAGATGAGTCCTACAAGAGCTACTTCACTAGAACTCGTACTATGCACCACAGATGCTAAGGGGTCGTCAAATTCCCCGTGTGTGACTTCGATGGCCTTTTGTCTTCACCAAATTCCTGCCACCAATTGCATGTCTTTAAGTCGTCATCAATCACGAGTCATGTCGAAAGGTGTGCTTGGCGCTGCTGTTTGAACTACTCGAAAACAATGTGGCATTCTCTAACAGTTGCCGCACTGGTGCCACAGTGTATGGCATGACCGTGCATTGACATGGGCGGTACCATTTCACATTACTGTGATTCATGTAGCGACGTGGTCGGGGACTGATTCAAGTTGAAAGATGTTAGTGTGGCGGGCTACAGATGCTGTTGGTTAGTAATGGACGTGTAATTTATTTCTTAATTCCTGTCGGTCTGCGTGTCCAAAACTGGCGCTTGTTTTGATAGGCCTGCCAGTTGCATAATTACGACTTCTTCATATTCCACCGAAATACTTGGCACCACACGTGACGAATACCTACGACGGTGCACTTCTTTGTTCTCTCAAGGCTCGTAGTAGAAGGGCTGATTTATGATTTCTTGCGTTAGCTACGTTTAGTTGTTTTGTGAGTCAAGTAGAAACAGGCTTAGTCAATTGAAATGTTGGTTTTCAGTCTAACAGACATTTGAGACCAGTGTAGTCGCTTTGTTATACTCTAGGCAGTGGGAAGTGACAAATGAAACGTATTAATACTGGAGAATGTATTGCACGGATTAATTAGGCTGCCATTTCGGCTTGTCAAGTGAAACATCGCATACAGCGTCCGTAAATTTTGCCGTCTTTCGTGCTGTCCGTATTCATGGCCACGGATAAAAAGTGAGTTTAACTTTTATGCACACACGCACACCTCCACGCGGTTTGGTTTCGCTGCAGATCATTTAAGCTCGAAACCGTGAACTCGGACGTGTGGATTTGGGGTTTCAGCGTTTTAACTTATCTTAATGCGCACACGTGGTTGCTCACCTCAATGTACGTGCGATAATCCTCTTGACCTGTCAGTTTTTAGTGTAACTGAGTCAACGGTGGCCACTGTGGCTGTTTTTTAGCTGACTCATTGAGAGCATGGTGTATTATTTTGTCGCGATGCGCCTTAGGCGTTTGTCAAAGCTATTCGTTGACATATTTGATCAGGCCCCGGGTGTTGGGTTCCGATGCTCCAGAGTTCGGAAACGGCGAGCAGCTGTAGGAATTGCTATTCACAATGAGACGTCATAACTTTCCCTAAATATTACCTACGAATTCAGCCTGCGTAACGACGCATTGTTGCGATTTTCTAACTTGGAGCATTGAAGTTACCAATGTTACTTCAGCTTACTGTTGGCCTTGAAAAGTCGCCGTGATACCTGTGCCTGGTATGTTTAGGATGCATAGCATTGTCGAGAAGACATGAATAAAGTGGAGAACCCACCGGCCTAAGGAATAAGCCTTCCCAACGCCTCGTCTAAAAAGATGCCTTGAAAACAGGAGCCAAATGCAAATTAGAAGAAAAGAAAGGTCAAAGAGTGTCGAGCAAATTATCAGTTGCTCTGATTACTGTAGCCAGGCCCTTTCGGCAAGTGGTGGTTCAATTTAAGCAGGCATCCTTGGTAATCTGCTGACCTTTGTAACTTTTGGTTTCCCCAAATAGCCATGGTCATTTGGTGACCAACTCCTGCTAAAATCTCATTGTACCCATGGTTTTTTGGCTGTTTGCTTGAGCTGCGGTAGATCCGTGCGTTGGATGGCTTTTTTAACCCAAGTCGAGTGTCAGCTTGTCAAGTTTCTAGAAATGAGACCGATTCCTTTTGTGAATCAGGCCCGCATCCATTGTACTTTCATGTAATCTTTCATAAATATTTAACAACCGCACTTCTCTCTTCTGCCCTCCCAATGTAGAAAAAAGTGCTTATCTTCATTGATTCACTTCAGACCTTGCTGTACTCGCGTTTTTGTTTGGCGATTGGCTGCCAGACGTAGCAATGTAACTGTTATTTTACAGCACGAGTTTATACGAAGACTTAGTGCGTTCATTTTGACGTAGTTCGCCGAGGTCTGTGTTCTTTTTGTGTACGATTTGTTTTCACCACGCATGATTTAGCAAGCACGGAAAAAGATTAACTGGTCGAGAAAACGCAGCTTTAGTAAAAAATCTGTGGGCCATTTTTCTCTTATCGTACCTTTTGTGTGGGAAAATAATCACTTTGCCCCGTGCAATCGAGAGATGCTAATTTACACTCGTTGTGTTTAAGGGTCCAATTTACGAAACCAATTGTCAGAACACATTATTACTTGCCTGGCCGTATGCAAAATGACACATGAGGTGTCAGCCTCTGCTCTCTCTTTCACCATTTTAAATTTAACGTATAACTATTTTATCAGAATAATGCTTTTTATCGATTCATTTAATGTTTCTTGGTTCTAAATGACCATTTATTAAATGAAACAGCTACATCCTTTCTGTTCCACACGAGGGTGCTTCTGAACGTTCATCATTTTCAGATCATTTTGCATGTTTTTTTATATTTCTAGAGCCACTATTCTTCCAAAGAGAATATTCATGGTGGGCAACTTCCATCACACCTGCAGTTCCGACACCCAACGTTCAGCGGGGTCTCAACTAATGCCACAACTACGTCCTTCTTTGCACCCAGCCCCGTCCACTTTGCAGATTCTTCTCCTTCCACTCGGGACTCGCCTACCCCTAAGCCACCGCACCTCGTGACCACTGCCACCACAAAACCTCCGGCCTCCTCAAGGCCAACGGCGACAACTGTTAAACCCACAAGTGGTGGTGCTTTTGCCAATTTGCCGGAACCTTCTGCTAGCCGTCCCTCAGACGACAGTCCTATACCCTCAACCGGTACCCCTATTCGGAAATCCACTCCACCTCCCATACTCTGTTTAAAATGTGCAAAGGCCAATAAAGGCAGGACGCCGCCGCTCTCCACTCTCCAAGCTGATGTTTGTGCTGCCCCCGAAATGCCCAGTAAACAAGTGGAAGCTGAAATGACTCCACCGCCGCAGCCACCCTCTCAACAGGTAGCAGGCTCGACAGGGTGTCGTCAAAGGTCAAAGAGTTTAAGGTACGGCTGTTTTCGAGTGCTTTTGTCGGTGTCCATCCTCATTTCCGTAATGAATTTGCATACCCCTTAGTGATTTAATTGAGCGAGTTGTACGTTTAAGTCACTATATATTTTCTTCCGCGAAGCGTTTTGTATTTTTAGGTACATATTGTGGTTATGCTCAAAAATAAACAGCGTAGCAGTGCAAATCAAGCGGTAGATATGTGGACTAAATGAATAGGCACGTTGTACGGTAAAGTCAGATAATAATGTCGTTTGCAACATTCATTTTCTGTTTACTTAAATGCGTTTTGAAAGGCTATAAGCACACAAAAATTCTTCAATTTAATAATGAAGTTTGCACCGGATATCTGCGGTTCTGCATGCGTTTACACGTTGCCTTCGGATATTTATTCGCTACAGCTCAGTTCACGTCTAACATCCGAGTACTATGAACCAAACAGTCACGTTTGTCGAAGATGTTACTAGGTCTCTAAAAACGGCCTCCTCCTACCACCGGGACATTTTAATTCAGGTACCTATTTGTCTCGCTAGAATATCTAACCTCTTCATTAAAATTAATCCTTAGCGGATCCGCCAGACCTCGAGTAGAGCGCTTTTGCAGTAGAATGCTAATAGCTGCGCAACAGACATCTAATTGCCGTCGAACGCAGTATTTGACGTTTTGAGTGCCAACTGTTTTCCATTACTCAAAAAACAAAAATGGTGCAGTTTTGACCAGTGTCATGGGATCTGAGCTGTTGTAGCTTTGTTTGTAATGTTTTCTCTTTGTGTAATCTCCCACTATTTAAATCAACGCTTTAGCTTGAACATCAACTCTAAACTATGGATCTGAAAAGCTGTGATTTATTGTGAGTAACTGAAAAGTTTAACATTTAGCCACCGCAATTTTAAGAAAAACTTTAATGGACCAGATCTATTAGACCTGGGCGTTTTCGTTAATACACTGTTCTGGTGTATTCAAGGATGCATCCTGTAGGTGCTCTTTCTCAGCTAACTAAACTAATCAAAACTTTTTTCTAGTCTATCATCAACCTGTCGTATTGAAGCGCCCTCTAAGACCTGTAAATCTTACACCTTTAATTTGAGCTATTTAAATCAATTTTATAGATGTTTAATTGATGGTTTAGTTTCATTTGTTTACCTTTTTTCACTAATCGATGTCTAATGAGAGAACCTCATCGCCTGGAGGCGCTCACATCTCTCCGTAGCGCATACGGCAAAATTAAATTTTACACACATGCAACTTTAGTTTTGAATCCAATCCAAAAGTCGGCTTACATAATTAACAGTTGCTTGTTTTTTGTGTTCGCCCTGGGTGAAGTGTAGCGGATCCATTTTTAGTTGTTTTTTATCTCTTCAGCCCCGTGCGGACCTCTTCGAACAATGAGCAAGACATTCTTATTCTGAATCACGTTTATCGAGAACGATTTCCTAAAGTAAGTGTTGAACATCTTGCTAGTATAATAATCGGCTGATTTCTCCTCAAAGTTTATTAACCGCTTCTGTCTGGGGGTGGGGAATCTGGTTATCTGACATTTTCACTGCTATGACTTCAACTTGCCTCGACAAATTTAACTGCCTTGCGCACTTTGGGATCTCCAGAAGTCTTTATTTTTGGGAACGTGCGTAGAGACTGGCTAAACACTCTTCTTCCAGTGGCTGTTTCTGTTCCGCTACGTAGTGTATTGGCCTAATTTCTTCACATAGTCTTAGTTTATTTGTTTCAAATTTAGTTTTAATTCAATTATCTCGTATTTGGCCGAATTTAATCACAAGTTAGTATGAAAGCAATGCCATATGTACCGTTGAAATGGTGCCAGTACCTGCTTATTCATGCAATTGTCAATGCCAAATTTAATGTATTCCATTTTGTTTTGCCTTTATCAATCGTTTATTTGGATTTGATATGAAATGCGTTTTCGCGATTTATTCGTGGATATTTTACGCTCTTGCAGTGGCTAGTTATTTTGTACGCCTCACGAACTCTACCTCATCTTAAAGGAGACCAATATTGCTTAAATTTCCCTTAGACCCGTTCCTTCAACGATGTTGGTTCAATAATTTTTTAGATTCCAATACGGGTGCAACATCTTTGACCGATTATTTTTTGTTATTTCCTTTGATTTTTCAAGCAAAAAGCAGTTGTAAATGAAGGTCAGAATTGTCACTAAGCCTCTTTCCTGGCCGCTTCAAGTCGATTTCAACAGTTACTATTGGTTAATATCGTTTTGTCATCATAACTAGAAACGTCAACTTTCATGGCTCTATTTTGTGCATTTGTAGGCATCGGCCCAGATGCAGGATAATCTTACACGTCTGTGTGAAGAAATGGAGCAGGAGGATACATTTGCGTGGACAGCGGTGGCCCGCTTTATGCACAAACAGGTTTTGGAGTTGGCCCGTGATTGTCTTGAAAAGGCCCTAGCTGGTCTCATAACATCCCGGTATTTTTTTGAGCTAACCGAAAGATTGGAGAAACTCGTGGTCAGCGTAAGTCGCTTGAAACATCACAGCGTGTCTTGTGATGATCTCGGTTATTTGGAAGTTTGCTTCCGATTAAACCTGGTTCAATATCTTCATACTTCTTGTGAAATTCGAAGTATTAATGCACTCCAAGGTGAATGGGCCAAAAGAAAGGGGATGGCCGTTATCAACTAAAAGCGCTGTATCTTCTTACGAATTGTAGAAAAAAACGGAAAATCGCCTAAATCTCGAGGAATATAGTCCTAGGGATGCTAAATCCCTAACAGAACCTTTAATATCTTGCACGAATTTTGTAAATTACTTTGCTCCTGACTATGAAATAAATCGTTTTTGGTTTCGTAGACACGAGCCAAGTGTCCAAGCTCTACAGCTTGTGTAACAAACTTGTGCAACCGCCTCCTACTGATTATTTCTCGACCGGCTCGCCTTCTTGAATGCCTTGAGTTCGACCCCTGTGAGTTCTACCAAATGCTCGAAGTTGCTGAGACCCACGTACGACAAAGGAGCGAGTCGTGTAACGTCTTCTGCCCCGATGTGCCTCGTTACATCATATCTAAGCTGGGTCTCAGTAAACCAGAGGACGCCGAATCTGACGGTATGTGCCCTCAACTAGCTACAATTTCTATAACATCGATAATCTATGTGCTGATTTCGATTTTTGTAGGATGGCTGTTTGTGTGTTGCCTGGTGTTTCGGTGCTATTTCAATGGGATTTCCAAAAAAAATTATTTTAACCCACTGAATATCAAGTCAATAATACATAAGTGCCTTTTGCTGCCAAATCGCTATCAAGCTTTTGCATTCCTAACCGCTTTTCTCAAATACATTCCCACCTGAGCAACAGGAATACGTTATCAGTGGAAATTTTGTTCGCCGAATCACTTTCCCATTGATTTTCTAAAGTATCACGTTTATCTTCCTATGTGCATGATTTTGGTTCGTGAGTCTGAGTGTGGATTGGTTTTTAGGATGTATCCTTTGGTGCTCTTTGATTACTATTCGTGAACAAATTCAGCAATCGTGACGTTTACCGAGATCTGTTATTCGCACCATCATTGTCTTAGGTGATGACTGGCCTTGTTTATTTAAAGCGATATAAAATAACTATGCAACATCCCTCTTGGGTTGGAGCTTTACGCTTTGTTTAGCTGGTTTTCGCATCATTAATGCTGTCACAGGCACGCATAATTTCTGTATCAATTTGTGCCTACAGTTGGTTCCCGTTAAAATTATCTCTAATGCGAAACAGGTCAAATTGAAGTTTAAAGTATTGCCTCCATCTAATTCTCATTCTACTTTGTAGGGTATGCTGACGCGAGTGTTCGGAGCGACGCCAACCGCGAAGGATTTGACTACATCATCTCCACTCCTCCGACACCTCTGATTATGAACGACTTCCTGGATGTTTCTGCTCCTGTCACACCCTCACACGGCTTCTCCTCTCCAATGGATTTGGGAAGCCCCACTACTCACGATGCGACTGGGCCCCTGATGCCTAGCCGTCGACCCTGCGAGGCTGATTTTGAAATTATAAAACTCATATCTAACGGCGCTTATGGGTAAACAGCTTTCTTTCTATGCGTGCATTTACCTTCATGCTAAATCAAGTATCTCCCGTAACATCCGAACTATGCAATAAATCATAGAGGTTGGTCGGTTCAAACCCAAAGAGATGCTAAGGTGAAAATCCCAACTACCATGCCGTAAAATAAACGGTTCATAAGAACTAGGTGCGCTTATTTTAGTTGCCCAATGAATATTCCTGTGGGCATGTGTTTGTGTGCCTAATACAATTCGAACAGGATATTCTAGTGGCCTTTTGTATACGCCAGAAGAAAAAAGGTTCAATTCAAACAACTGATCCAGTTAATAGTTTTCAGTTCCCTGTTCTTGGATATTCCACCCCGAGCTATTTGTTTCGTCGCCCCTTTTTTGTGTACTAGTTAATGCAGCCCTCACGTTCCCTTATGCGTCACGCTGTAGGTCATACAGTTAAATGTCAATTTATATCTAGACCCCCTTCTAAACGTCACACTATGCCTCGATCAAAATCTAAGGAAACATCAAATCTACGGAACACATTAAACCATTTGGCGTCGTGCATGAATTTCAGCTTTTTAAATAAACTACTTGCCTATTACGGATCATGTCGCTACATGAATCACAGTAATGTGAAATGGTACCGCCCATGTCAATGCACGGTCATGCCATACACTGTGGCACCAGTG